ATGTATCACTCATGTATCCATGCAGCAGCCGCTTCATTTCAATCTTCGTTTCATGTTGTACTTCGCAAACGATGAAGCGATACGAGCACCAGCATCGGTCGGACATTTGTGGGCGGGCGGGCGCGGTGGGCGTCCGGGTCGGTATGTTGCAGCTTGATAGGGCGCTATAAGGGTACCTTCCTTGAAGAAGGCGCTAAGCAGCGCCTGCTCAAGGGCGCCGAATTCTGTCCTGCTAGGCATAATCCTACAGGTCTTGGGTATTTATCGTGCCACTTGCCTTCAGTTGTGAGTGGAAATGAAGGGGTAGCACTTTGCTCTTCATTCATCTATTACACTTCTAAAAAAAGAAGGCTGTTGTTCGGAATCATCCAATTAGTTCAAACGTAATTATATCTCGCTTGATCTCTTTAGAGAGGAAGTGGAATGTACCTCAGTCTTACCAGATATCAGCTTTCACGTTTAATGAAATCATCAAATGACTAAGTCGTAAGCGGCATGATCTTTGATCATTCCGCTTCGGTAGCCCCTATGACTGGCTTCCGATGTTCTCAACCATTTAACTTGTTAGAAAACCGAGATAATAGGCTCTACTGTTTCTGAACAATCAAAAATTGCAGAGAATTAAAAAACTTGTTGCCATTTAGTTTAGCAGTTCGTTGCTGTCTTCAAATTATCACCATCACATGCCTGATTATCTCATTCAAGAGTCGCACCAGTGATACACCCTGATCGAAACCCTGTTACTACGGAGATCCGAGCAGTTCACTTATAAATGAGGGCTATGAAACAGGAATCACTTAATTAGCCAGCAATCAAAGCTCATCATTTCACATTGTTGTGGTGAACGTCGAAAGATCTCTGGGATTTGCAGATCGGAGATGATAGTCCGCAGCGGTTGTGGTACATTTGGGGATCAAGAATTCTCGCACTTACCGAACAAGCTGTGCTCTATTTCACGCTGTTGATGACGATCAATCGTTTCGCGGTGTTCGTCTATCCGCACCTTCTCGTCGCCTTCACTCAGTACGTGTTTTTTGTTTACACCATAGAGTCAGGAGACTTTAG